ACCAGCCCCAACGATGCTATGGGTTCCCTCCCATTGGCTTGGCGGAAATGAGAGGATGAAGATAAATGAAAATACAAGACACAAAGAGAAAGTTAAGAGATAGCTGCGCCAGGAGTCTGCATGCTCTTCTTTGTGACATTCCACATAGCATGTGGCATCTTCTTCTAGGCCAGCTCCATTTTTATTTCATATACCATTGTTTTAATCGTAAATCTCATGAGGGAAAGGAAAACAATGACAATATGGTTCCTGCTCTACTTGCATTTTTCTAACTAAACTATTTCTTTAACTAACCACGCTAATTGGATGGATTTACTGTTTACTTTTATTGCTCTAAGGTATTTATGATCTTTAACGCAAACAGAGCATGGAATACTGAAAAACAGTCTGAGAGCAGGATGTCAGAGAAGACCTCAATTAGGCCATGCACACAAATCACAGAAGTGACAATTAATACTCAAGAAGTTTGTTGCTCAGGCAAACAGACGTTTCTGGTCATACGGAGGTGACAGAAGCAAAGAGATAGCTTATCTCTGGAGCAAATCTTACTGTCTTTAATAAAGTTTAAACATTCTACATAATCTATCTTTACTAAAGCACTTCCTCTCTCAAGGCAAATAGCCCCACCTTTCTGGGCAAGTCTCACCTGTTTAGAGACCTTCTCAGCTGGGGCTTGTACTGGGGAGGGCTGAAGTTTCAGCAGGATGCTTCCGGAATTTTAAAGTCATCAGGCGTCTGGCAGTGGGTTTTCCTCCAGATTCAGAGTTTTCCACATCTGCTTCTCTCCTGTTTCTGTTTTCCTTTGCCCATCCTCTGCAATCATTTTCTTAATTTAATTCCTAACTTATTTATAAATAATACTTGTATATTGGTTTTAAGCTTATTAAATCATTGTTGCTAACAATGCAAGCACATCAAGATATGACTTTCCCCTTAAGTTAGGGTGACCAAATTTTAACATTTGTAAAGCGGGACAACATGGCTGGGGGGCGGGGTGGGGGCAGGGCTGGGGTGGGGCAAGGGACACAGTAGGGCAGGGCCTGACAACAATGCAAACTTTGATAAGCAGTTCTTGATAATCACTTCTCAACAACTATTTGTTATTATTACAGCTTAACGTTATAAAATTAACAAAAATAATATAAAACTCATATTCTAGTGAAATAGCCACATGGCAGTTGAAAATCGTATATTTCCTTCCTGTTCTCCTGCCCATCAAGCATTCTTTCCAAAAATCGGGGCTTTTTTAAAATGCAGCGGAACTGCAGTACAAATTGTTAAAAAGCAGGACGTCTGGTCACCCTACCTTAAGTATGCTCACATGCACCTGCATAGGTCAACAGTCCAACTGATCTAGGCCTTATAATCACTTCCAAAACTACACTATGTATATGAGGAAAACTTCCTTAGACTCCCAAGTGAGACCATCAGCCATCCAGCCTCCACTGTGTGATTTTTCTCGATGCCATGAAACAAAGGCATCATCAGGCAGAGCCCTGGCCACATTCCTAACTCACACATCCAAAATTGTGACATGGGATGAAATTTTTGTTTTAAAGCACCAAATTTTAAGATAGGTGGGCATCCATTTATGAATCAGAATAACTTAGAACAATAACAATTCTGTTCCTCCTCCTATGTATATATAATATGTGATACTATGTGTAGTATTTCTCAAGCTACAAATCAACACAAATACCTCACATCCATTTTTAAAACTATAATAAAACTTAGCCTGATAAATTTAAAATACAAAATTTGACAAAATTAAGGTAGAGAAAACAGGGATGAGTGGAAAATTAAGTAGTGATTTATGTAATAAAAGAACTATATAGAAATTTGATGGAGAAATACTTTAAGTCCATACCATGTTTCCCTGAAAATAAGACACTATCTTATATTTATTTTTCCTCAAGAAGACACACTAGGGCTTAGTTTCAGGGGATTTCTTCCTCTCTGTGCCAAAATACATGGCGTGGCTATGCATTTACTAGGTCTTATTATCAGGGTAGGGCTTATATTTAACAAATGCATAGAAATCCTGCTAGGGCTTATTTTGGGGATAGGTTTTATTTGGGGGGAAACATAGTAATTAATTTAGGAATTAATAATTACTCTATCTTTCAGTAAATGTCTAATTTACAAATTTTATATATATATATATTTTTTTTTTTTTTTTTTGAGTCTCACTCTATAGCTTAGGCTAGATGGCAGTGGTATCATCATAGCTCATCGTAGCCTCAAACTCCTGAGCTTAAGTTTTTGTCCTACCTCAGCCTCCTGAGTAGCTAGGACTAGAGTTCTGTGACTCAGCTAATTTTTCTTATTTTTTGTAGGTATGGGGTCTTCCTATGCTGACTAGGCTCGTCTAAAACTCCTGTCTTCAAGCAATCTTCCCACTTTAGCCTGTTAGGGTGCTGAGATAAATGGTATAAGCCCCTGCACTCATCTTACAGATTATTTTATAATATTGTGAACAATTGTGGTATTGTTAAAGAATGTATGCTTATTTGGGGCAAGGAAGATAATCCTCATATGAAAATGGAGAGCATTTGAAGATTTTTGAGCAAAGATAGTATATTGTTAAGAATAGTAATTAGATAATGCTGATTAGTATGAATTTCTGTAGAAAGAAACAAATGTGGATAAATGACTAAGACTTGGCTTACAGTAAGCCAAGAAATTGAATGCAAGTATCTCAACCAATGGAAATAGAAAATTAGAAACTTTTAACCTAAATTGTTTGGTATAGCTTCAATAGGTCATAATGATGGAATGAAAGTGATGAGAGAGAAGAGGATGTTGATGGTGAGTCACTCAATAGAAGGTGATGCCATTATCAGATTTTGAAAAGCAAAGGGTAAGATGCAATCTAGGAAATTTGCAATCTTTATCTTTTCTCTAAAACATTATCAATTATTTTTGCTTTATTATGTTCCCTAATCTGAAATTATTTGTGTTAACAGAAGCTTGAAATATAAATTATACTATGTAAATAGTTTGAGATTATTTATATATTTCAAAAATTGTGAAATTTCTTTTACAAAAATATGTTCCAGCATTAACTTCAGGTCTTCATAATTATTTTCAATATTTTTCTTTTTTTAAATGAATATGTATGCCTTTTCTTTGTAAATGTTGCTTGTATTTATCATGTGAAGACTATCTGCTGCTCAGGAGTAAAATCATGTGTGAAAAGCTATTCATTAAATCTGGTAAGGAAACTGTAGCTTCTCCATTACTAATGAGAGATTTAACAAAAATCACTGACAAATTATATTTCTCCTTTCATTTCTTTGTATTTATATGGTATCCTATTGATTCAAAGCTCACAATATTTACTGCACATCTGTTTTACATTTGCAAATATACAGAATACTGCTTCATTTAATGTTTTGTTCCTTACATCCCTTATGCCTGATGCAATTACAGAATTTAGGAAGTAGATAGAAACCTAGTTGAATGGGTAAGAAAAAAAACAAGTGTACCCACAGCTGTATAATACTTAAACTTTATAATACATACAAATAGACTCCTCAAGCTCCTGCAGGATGCCTGAACACCTGGTAGATGAGATGGAAATGCAAAGTAGCTTAAATATTTTAATTCACTTTGCTCAGAGAGTCGGAATATGCAACTATGTAGTCATAAACTGAATATATGGCTTGCATAAGATATTTTCTCTTAAGATGTTCTTCAGTAAATGGTCCCAAAGCAGTTTTAAATACCTATCAACCTAAATTTGGAGGAGCTTATCAAGAAATATCTAGTGACTACAATCAATACCTCCTGTGAACTGACAGAAAACTTCCTTTTCTCTTCTGTTAGAATTAAAATATCAAGGGCAAGGTG